GGGTCACCTTTCTTTGGAATGGGAACAAATATCGATGACTGGAAACAAATATTGATCTCTTCCAGTCAGTTGGCCAGCTGGCTGTCCTCCAGATTTCCTGGCACAACTTAGTGAGCACATCCAGGGCAGCGTCTGTTTGTTGAAATAAGTCAATTGGTATGCAGTCAACTCCTGGAGCCTTGATTTTTGCTAATTCTTTCATAGCAACTTGAACTTCCTCCTTTATCTCCATAGGTTCTTGCTCATATGTTATTCCATGAAATTCCTCTGTGTCAGCCAATTCCTTCTGATACAGTGACTCTGTGTACTCCTTCTATCTTCTTTTGATACTTCCTGGATCATTTAACATTCTACCCAAACTATCTTTAAGCATTGCCACCCTTGGCTTGAATTTGTTTTTCAACAAATTTTCAGCTTAAGAAACGCTGAGCAAGTCCGGCCCTTTTGCTTTTCTGACTCTAGCTCTCTGCACATTTCATTATAGTATCTTGCTTTGTCGTCCTGAGCTGCCTTTTGACATTTTCTGTTCATCTGTTTGATTTCTTGATTTCTTCCTTTAGCTTTGGCTTCTCGGCACTCTAATGCAATACTCAGAGTCTCATCTGACATCCATCTTGGTCTTTTCTTCCTCCTCAGCCTTTGTAATGATCTTTTGCATTCTTTGTGGACGGTTTTCTTGATACCTTTCCACAGCTCATTTGGTCTGCACTCATTGGTGCTCAAGGCCTCAAATCTGTTCCTGAGGCTGTAAACTTCAGGGAGGATATTGCACATCTTTCTCCCGCAGAGCTGCTAGTGGATTTGAACCATGTATCTTTGAGTTGACAACACCACTTCTTTCCACTAAGCCTCCATGACTCCCTGCGGACAGGGTCAGTGGGGTTTTCAGGAGTCTGGGCCGTGCCCTGTGTCCCCTGCAGGGCAAGCAGGTGGGTTGGCTAGGGTACCCAGGGTCCTCTGTGATGGCTGGCACCGGTGCCGGTACAGCAGATGTCCACAGACTTGGCTTCAGGCTTCACAAGTGGACTCATTTCCAGAGACTGCAAGTCCAGGTTCCGTTTCATGGAGCAGAATTGAGGTGCCATAGCCCCCCCTGCTTCAACTCCAAGAGCAGCTCTTCCAACTTCTACTGGCCACCTTCAGATCACACATCTCTTCCCCTCAGATCTGTACCCCTGGGAGCCCCACTTCCTTATCAGGACAGGATTGCATTTGGAAGCACCAGCATCAGGATCATGGGCCCTTTGCTGGCTGAGCTCATAGTCACAGGGTCAGAGCTCAGGACCTGACACCTGGGGGCCACTGTTACCCCGTAGAGTGACCAAGGCCAATGTTCCCTCCCAGAGTGAACAGTTGTCAGCTCCTACGGTGGACAGGGCCACAGTCTTCCTACAGTGGACAGAGGTATAGCCAACCCCTGCAGTGGACAAAGTGTACTTGAAGTCTGTGGGTGGACCCTGAGACTTGTCTGCAGGAGTGTAGGCACCAGGAGCCAAGCATCTGGAGTGTTAGGGACCTTCAAGGGCCAAGACTGATGGCTGTGCCTGGAAGTGCCAGGATTAGTGGAGAGATGTCTGACTTAGAGGGTGTCAGACTTAGCATGGAGAACACAGGGTCCTGTTACATCAGCATTTCAGATTAAAACACTCAGACTTACTGCCACTGAACCAGGGGCAACTGTCGCTGGCCCTGCACTGGACCCCCAAGGCTGTGAATCACACCGGAAGCGATGGTCCATCTTTCTTCCTCGAAGAGGCAAGTGGACTTGAACTGTCAGAGAGGATCAGCTGTTTGACAAGGCCAGCAAAGCTCCCTATGTCAGAAAAATATGCAGTTTTTAGTAACAGGCCCTTCCATGAACAAGTAGCTCTTTGGTAAAGTATTTTCCATGCAATATTCTATATTTACTCTATGCAAGTGTTTGCTATTCATCAGAAATTCAGATCCACTAGACACACCAGCTATGCAGCAGAGAGCTGGACAATGACTAGGGATGATAGAAGGAGAATTGATGCCTTTGAGCTGTGTTGCTGGAGCAGAGTATAAAATATACCGTGGACTATCAGGAGAACAAACAGGTTTGTCCTGGAAAGGGTGAAACCAGGCTGCTCCTTGGAGGCAAGAATTCTGAAGCTCTGTCTTAACATACTTTGGGCATGTTGCAAGGAGGGACCAATCCTTGGAGAGGGACCTCATGCTTGGAAGGGTAGAGCGACAGCGCAGGAGAGGAAGCCCCTCGATGAGACAGATCAATTGACTGATGGGGGTAATGGGTTTAGGTGTGTCAGAGACAGTGAGGCAGCACAGGAAAGAGTAGGTTTTAGGGCTGTTGTATATGGGGTCGCTATGAGTTGCAAGCTACTTGATGGCACATAAAAACAACAGACAACCCAAGCCTCTTGGGCCAGCATTCCCCATAAACCTTGCTTTCCTGGCGCTGTTCTGGTCCCAAGGAGATTTAATGTCAGAGGACAGCCAGTAGATCCTCACCACTGAACTCCAAGAGCCTGGTGCAGATAGTAAGAGGCTGGGGCTCAGCTTTGGCCTTCCTCCTCGCCCAGGGGTGGGCAGAGACTTAGTGAACCAGGAGGGGCTGGTGGGCCCTTCAGAGCCTGTCTGCCCTTCATATGATTGGCTCAGTTAAGATTAGTGTCAAACCAGAGAAATCTGTCAGCGCAAGCTGGGGGCCAGCGAAAACTGGATGAATGAGGGAAGTCCCAGAAGGCCACTGGCTGCAGGGGTAGGGAGTACCAGCTGTTGGCGCACTCCTACCTGAGGTCGGAGAGATAATGCTCCACAGTGCTACCTGCCCTTTAGGTGGGCTCACCTCTGGCTCAGGTGGGCTAGGGGCTTCCTGCTACTTCAGGTCTGCACAGGTTTGCACCTTGGCCCTGGAGGCAGAGTTCTAGAACCTCACTTCTGGATTGAAAGGCAAGCTTCTGGAACACTCACCTGGGAGAATCTTACTACCCTCCACATGTCCACCCTAACTGGAAGGGCTGTGCCCCTGAGAAGGAGGCAGACTTCTGGCCTGGCCTGGGGTGGGGGAGACACAGTATCCCCACTGACCACAGAGGGTTAGCCCACTCATGGCTTGGCATATTCTCATCTGGGGTCAGGCGGCCTGGCCCAGACAGACCACACCAGGACACTACAGTTGGTGGCCTGGTCTCTGGGCTGCTCCAATGTCTCAAACTCTGGCAGGGCAGGCCTGACAG